ATGAGTTGGCACATTAATTCATTGGTGGATAAAGATTTTGTGAGTTCCAATCCACTAATGAATTAATGTGCCAACTCATCGGTACTTAGGATAAGATGAGCACCGGTGCTCATTAGATCATTTCTGTATATATATATAATAAGTGTATTCAAAGTACAAGGACTAACTTACATTACATGAAAGAATTGAAGACTTGGAAGCAAGTGTTAATTTAATGAGTTAGTCTTCACGTACAGGATGAGTTTCACAAGTTTTTGAAATGAGCTGATGTGGCAATTTAAAACAAAACAAACGAAAAAAAGGAACAAAAGAAGAAAACGCGTGAGTTGCAGACCAAATTCAAATTCAATTGTAACCTATTTCCTATCCATTCCTTTCTCACCTCAACTCTCAATCGGCGACGACCCAAGCTGCAGACGGCGCGATCCTGTCCATCTCCAATAGGCTCGAGCCCATATTTGCAGTCGACCTCACACCCTCATATTTGCGGTCGACTTGAGCCCATATTTGCAGTCGACCCGATTTTGAAACGGAATTCGAATCACACTGCCTTTCTCACCTCAACTCTCAAACGGCGACGACGCTTATCCTTTCCATCTTCGGTCTGCGCCTTTTGTTGAAATCGGTGAGAGCCCATTTAAAAAATGTCAATTTTTTTGTAGATTACTCTTTTTACTTTTGAAGAAGCCTTTCCAGAAGATGTTTTTGGTCGTTTACAATTATCTATTTTTGTGTATATATCTGACTTTTAGTTGTACTGATAGTTATTTTGCTTATTTGGTGCTTTATATGTAATTGTATAGCTTTTCTGGGAAGGCTGTTGGAGTGAGAATTGGAGGTCAATCTGCTCCTGCTGAAGCTGCACCGGTTAAGGAAGCAAAGGTAGATATTTCCAACTGAGTTAGTCGTGACTCTTAAATGTTCCAAATGCTGTGGAAATTATGTTTGAGTTTGCACAAGTTTTCATCAGTATTCTTCCTGCATTTTGTTTGAGTTTAAGGTTTAGTCTTCTCCATGGCTTGTAATGGTGGAGGTTTATGATAGCTGGTTTATCCTGGTATATCATATCTAGAACATCTATTACATGTATTGTTTCAGTTTGAGGTAGAATATCCTGGTTTATGCTAGCTGATTTATCCTAGTTTATCCTATAATTAAAGGTGGAATGGTCCTGTAATGGTGGAATGGTTTTGTTGATGGTGTAATTAGTGTGCATTTGTTCCAGTAATGACCATTTGTTCCTGTAATTAGTGTGCATTTTGTTGATGGTGCCATTTGGTCCTGTAATGGTGGAATCGTTTTGCATTCAGTCTGTAATTTGTTTGTTCTCAATGTCAGGATGAAGAATCAAGCGGTGAATTGAGTACCGTTAATGAAGCAACAAATGTTGTGGCCAATAAGGGATTCAAAGATTTGCCAAACATGTTTGACTCTCTTGCTCGAATAGCCGATAAAAGAGACGTGGAGATTTCATTCAACGTGACATTTTGCAAGGGACAAGGACGTGCAGAGAAGTGTGGAAATGAAAGTAGTTAGTTGTTGAACGAGTTATTTGTATTGTGTTCGTTTTGTATTTGGTATCGAAGAATAGCATTGTATTGATATCAAAAACTCTTTGTATGATGCCATTTTGACAGAGAACTGGGTAGATGTTGGTAATTTCTATTGTGTTCTGCATCAATACCCTTGAGTTTCTTCCTTAAAATTCACCGTCCAATTTTCAGGCAACTATTGCAATGAAGCATGACTTGAGAAGCCAGTGCTCCTGATGATTAATATGGACTGGAAGTCAGGCACCTTTTTGTATTATTGTATAGCTAAAATATATTAACATCACAGCCATCAAGTTAAAGATGATACTAATAGAAGTAAACAATACCAGAACAAACACAAACCAGCAAAAACCAGCTATCATAAACCATGATAAACCAGATATGATACTTCATACTCCATAAGCCATAAGAATACATCATACACTAGCTATGATAACTCATAAATAGTGTCTGTGACATTGAACTTCATAATCCCCAAAAAAACCTTTGTTCATAATTTTCCAACACAAAAACAGTTCATACATAACCCGTGAATGCTGCTCAAAAGTGATGCTCCTCTTGGACCTCTTCCATAATTTCTGTTCCTGCGATGAAATAAACGATAAGCATTACGGGGACATTACCACATAACACAGAAGGGAAAGATTACAAATAACTTCCCATTAGTCGATTATTGGCAGGAAAAAAGGTTGGTTTCATCAGTGTTAGTTGCTACAATATACATTCAGCTTCTAAATGTAACAAACCCTGTTAAGTTATCAAAAGCATCCACTTATTTCAACATAAATCACCAGCAATTGTTGCTTTTATCATTTCTGCCTACAGCCATCAGAAGTATCAAATATGCAAACCAGGGGATATATATTTTGTTTAGTACTACCCAGGGGATATACTAATTAAGCAGAAAATCCCTTCAAAGACAACAATTAGGGGTAGATTGCTGTAGCCAGTGAATCAGTTGACACATAAAAGATACAAAATAGACTAGAGCACATAAACAATTATCAGTAGTTTACAAAGTGCCAAAATAGAGATAACAAACAGTAACATTGACATGTCGACGACACCTTCATGTGGACGGAGATGGAGAACGGACCGGCCACAGATTTACGGCCACGGGATAGCTTCGGTCGCGGTTATCCAGCAAGCGGTAACTGAAGGTCGATTGGCCAGCAAGTGGGTGACTTGCGCAAGTTGGTGAAACGGGCGCCGCCGGTAACCTCGTCGGAGATGGAGGTAGGCGATTTTACAGGTTTCAGGAGTCGGCTGTGGTGGAGGGAAATTATCAATTGGTACTCTGGTTTCGCAGTTTTGTTTTCACCTTTTGTTTTTGTTTTTGTTTTTTATTGTTTTGTTTTAAATTGCCAGGTGAGCTCATTTCAAAAACCTGTAAAATACCTGTGAAAGTCTCCTGTACGTGAAGACTAATCCTAATTTAATAAATTAATCTAAATGAACATAATGTTTTATCAAATGGATTACACCACTCACATGAACGGAGCCCACACACAATAAAATATTCGTGGACCCCCTCCATGTGAGTAGTGTAATCCATTTGATAAAGTATTGTGTGTACATCTAGTATATTCCTAATTTAATTGGACATTAGAACTAATTGG